GCTCCCCTACATGGGCAATAGGGTAAGGATTATAGTCCTGGAACTAGGAAAGTCCTTTGCTCGCAAGTATGTTTTGACCATTGTAAGGACATTAGAGCAACTCCAAGAGAAGGGGAGACTCCCACAAACCACCCCATTAGACTTTAAAATACACAATATCCAGGTAGGAGATCGGGTATTATTGAAAACATGGAAGGAAGAAACTTTAAGACATTCTTGGGAAGGACCTTTCCAGGTGCTGCTAACTACTGAAACAGCAATTTGAACAAAAGAAAAAGGGTGGACCCACATAATGCAAGTAAAAAGACCAGTAGAGCCACCTGAGGATTGGGTGGTAGAGACACACGAAGATCCCTTGAAATTAACCATGAGAAGGAAGTCTCATGTTTTTGCTTTGACAGGAAAAAGCCCTGGAGAGCTTTCAGAAGACGCATGAGAGTCAGTACTGCTGCATGGGAGCAACAGACAGTGAAAGCCTTGACAAAGTGCCTTCGGACTAGCGCGGCACCAAACCCCTTTGACCCTACTTTGCTGCTATTGTAATTGTTGCGTGTATATACGGGCTAAGTGTAATAATTGTAATAAGGTCATTTTAAGTCCCCGTGGCAGACAGGAGCAGTACCTTTTCCAAGTCCTTGGTCTTCAGTGTATCCGATGTGGGTATACAACCCCAATAGATAAGTGTAAGTGGATTAGATATTATTGTTGCAGAACAATACTTAATGTAGACCGACCCAACCAGAATGTTTATGGATCCTTCAGATATCAACTCCAATATGAGTTCTAGGAATGAAGATAGAACCCTATCGTGCCACAGGAATCAGAGATACCAAACTAAAGGATGGAGGGCAAGACCAGGTTACTCATTGTCAAGAAGAAATATTTCTCGGCTGTTGGAGGCACCCCGATAGGCATGAGAGGTAGGAGTATTAGCCATGCTGGACCTCCACTTCTAGTGTTACTATCACTAGTTGTATCTCTAGTATCTGATGACGAATGCCAGAAGTGCTATCAGACGGTCTCCTGGGGTAGATGATCCTTTTATACTACGACTGTGCACACGCGTATCAATCACCAATGTTATAACAGTGGGAGTTTGAATGTGCAAATATGGTGGACAAGAATATTGGGTCGGACAGAATTTAGGAATAGGTGGAACAAGATTAGGAGTAGGATCTTCTAGAGGGGAACAATGGCTCTGCTTCACTAAGACAGGTCACTGGGATATTCCAGATGGAGGGGGAGTACAAGATATGATGAAGGAAGAACTACTAAAGAACATGACAAAGGTTATAAAACAGAAAGGAAAAGAATTAGAAGTACAAAACAAGAGCATGTACCAGAAGCTGCAAAAATGGTTACAAAAAGAGTTGGGATTCCCCACTCTTAGGCAAAACTTGTTTTTAAATCTAGCAACAGACATAGCTAAGGAATTAAATGTGATTGGCTGCTGGGTCTGTGAGGGACCTTTAATGACTGAAGAGTGGCCATGGAGAGGCACAAGTTTGAGTCCGATTGAAATCCTGGAATGGAATTATACTCTCACCATGAGAGGAGAAAGGAGACCTGACAGGTGGGTGTTAAGTTCCACAGTAATTGAAAAAGTCTGTTTGACCCGTGAGGGAGAGAACTCTGTAGATTGGATGTGGGAGACCCCATGTAAAAGAGTCTTAAAGATACATTCAAATTTTACCTGAACTTGGTTTCCTTGAAAACCAAGGTCATATCTAATGTTTCAAAATTAGACCAAAAATTGTACCCAGGTAACAAACAGTAGTCTTTTTAGATGTAAGGAGAGTATGAATCCATTCTCAGGAATTAAAGACATTTCGCAATATTGGGAAAATATAGAGGATACAATGAAAGGGTTTTGGCAGGCACTGGATGGGTTGTTCTGGATATGTGGAAACCAAGCCTTCCCAGAATTAAAACCTAACTGAGTAGGGACCTGCACCTTAGGAATAATTCAACCAGGATTTTTCCTACTGCCATCTAAAGATGGTGATGAGCTAGCAGTACCGGTATATGAAAGCTCAAAGAGACAGAAGCGGGACATAATAGGAGGACATCAAAAGTGGGGAGAAGATGAATGGACCCCTCAACAAATCATAGAGACATATGGACTGGCCATGTTGGCCCAAGACGGTAGCTAGTGATGTAGAACCCCCATCTATATGCTGAATCGGATTTTAAGACTACAAGCAATAGTTGAGCTGATCACTAACAAAACGGCTTCAGGACTAGTACTGCTAGCTCACCAACAAACTCAGACAAGGGTGGCAGTCTACCAGAATCGAGTCGCACTAGACTATCTGCTAGCAGTAGAAGGGGTGGGTGTGGAAAATTTAACATACCTGATTGTTGATTAAACATTGATGATAATGGAGAAGCAGTATGAGAAATCACTACTGATATCCGGAAGATAGCACATGTACCAGTGCAAAAATGGAAATCGATAGCGGACACCAGTTGGTGGGATGGATTGCTAGGGGTCACTTGGTGGAAGAAATTAGGACTGATTTTGCTGTGTGCCTTAGCAAGTTTCTTATTTCTGCCTTGTTTAATACCCTTTTTCATAAGATTAATTCACAGTGTAGTCCAAGGAATGCAGGTAACAGCCATGCCTGTAGATCCAAAAATGGCAGCATCAGGGCCTCAGAAAATCCTGATCTTGAGAAAACCCAAGAAAAAAGAAAACCTTGAAGAGGCCACTCAAATTCTTGCTAAAATGGGAGAATCCTACAGGATGAATGTAAAATGCTTCAGCAAAATTAGATGATGAAAAGAAAAAGGGTGGAATTGTAATTAGTAATTCAGCAAGGAAATTTTGCTTCAGCTAAAATAGATATGTGCTTGCTATGGCTTCAGCTAAGATAGGTATGTGCTTGCTATGTGGTTGGAAAATGGATAGTGTTAGATAAAATATCAGATGGAAGCAACAGTTGAAAGTACTGAACCGTTGCAAAACAAGGGGTGGTGTGGTTAGCTAAAATAACAGCAGAAGTGTGAAGAATAGAGAAGCCACAAGAAGGACATGGTGATAAAGACTTTGAGCCTCCCTCCAATGACCACCAGGAAGACCCCTGAGAAAGCATAGCGCCTGAGCCGCTAGAAGGGAGGGGGCATGTTCGGGGGTGGGTTGTGTTCTGAGAACTCATTGATTATGCAAATTATTTTTCCAAGGAAAAAAATATGAATATGTATGAGTAATAGATAAAAATAAGCATTTGTAAGAAGAGAGTGAGCCACAGGAGGAGAAATCCCCTGTGTAGCTCCCAGCGCTGTAATAAATATTTGCTCCACCGAATTTGTCCCTGACTAAAATTCAATACAGTGAGCATGTTTCTCACACTATTGTGTCTTCAAGTGCTTTTAAAAAGTTGGCTATTATTACTCTGGTATTATTCATCATTGTTGTGTATACAGTGGTAGATTCAGGAAGAGATGAAATGTGGAAAAATTAGTAAGTTCCTGTAAATGAATTTTTAACTTTAATTTCACAAATCATTACAAATTCCTGACTGTGAATGTCTAAGTTAGCTCTTCTAAACATTGTACGCGTCTTCCTGAAAACTGGAAGTTACTGAATGTTTGTCTCCCTATTGCTGTTTTTTCCTAGGAGTGTTTCTCTGTGTTTCTCTAACATTCCTAGAAGTTAATGGGTGCGATTCATGGAAGAATTGGCAAATGGTTTTAGGTGTAAATGCATTTTTTGCATATCAGTTTTGTCATACCTCAAGGGATGTCCTTGCATGTTCCCTTATTCAGTAAGGCATGACCATAAGGAGCACTTTTTCTGTCAGCTGGGTCACCAGTTAGGGGCATTCCTCTGTTTTTAGCCCCTGTATGAAAATTGACAGCGTGTTCCAAAACTGAAGTTGTGGATTAGTCTGGACAAATGTTACCTCTCTGAAATAAGTTCACCTGTAATTCTTGAAATTTTCAGGAGATCACAAGTTTCTGTAATTCAGTCCTGAAAGGGACTTTAAAAAGTTGTCCTCGTTTATCTTCCTCATCTACAGGAATGTGATCATTAAATATGTTAAGAATCTGATGAGTTTAGATGTAGAGAATCACCTAAAACATCTGCAGATCTTCTATGAACCAATGACATACTCAACAAATTGGTGGCTTGAGTAGTTCATTGCAGTGGAATACGCTTACAAATACTTAAAGGGAGGATGCCAGGGGGATGGGAGCAGTCTTTTTTCAGTGGCGCCCAGTGATAGGACGAGGGGTAATGGGCACAAGCTTGAACATAGGAAGTGCCATCTTAACATGAGAAGGAACTTCTTTACCTTGAGGGTAGTGGAGCACTGGAACAGGCTGCCCAGAGAGGTGGTGGAGTCACCCCTCGGGAGACATTCAAAACCCGCCTGGACGCTGTCCTGTGCAACCTGCTGTAGGTGACCCTGCTCTGGCAGGGGGGTTGGACTAGATGATCTCCAGAGGTCCCTTCCAACCCTGACCATTCTGTGATTCTGTGAGTCAGTGTTTTGGTACCTTTTATGTGTTGGATTTTTTCAGCAGACTTTTTTTTTATTTTAACTTCTGTGAAGCAAAGTTATTTTGCTATGTGGGTGTGAGGGTGTTTTGTTTCTAATGAATGGAAATAGTTGATTTGTGCTTTACCTCTGGTGGAGGCAGTACGGTTTCTTCTAAGCTAGTAGACATTCTTCCCTCGGTGATTTATAAGCTTTCCTTTCTGTATGTAGTTGACTTTGTGGTATGGAACATGCCTATCAATATGAGGGAAAAGTAGCAGTCCTAGTGTTTGTTTAGCTGTATTCTTGCCTATATGCCCTCTCCTGAATGTTTTCAGAATAACAGAATAGGAAGGAACTTCCTGTTGAGTATGAAAGCAAGCATTAAAGTGAAACAAAATATTTTTATCTTAACCAAGTCAGTGCTTATCATAACCAAGTCTGTATCTGTTTTGTTTTTCAGAGTACTGTAATTGAAAGTGCATCTTCTACATTTGAGGAAGGACAAATTCATGATTGAATGGTGGATTAATAAGTAGCTGTCTTATTCCAAGAGTAGGACGATATCCTTGGAGTTGGGAAGAACTGGATTTTCACCCTAGTCCAGCAGCTTTGCTGCTCACTTAAACACAGATGAATGAAGACCCCATTTGGAAAATCGCCAGGTCAGCGGTCCAGAGCTGATGCAGGTGAGGTGTTTTTCTGTCTGGTTTTGTTTTCTGGGTGGTATTTAATTTAGCATTACTGACCTATGTATAAGAAGTGTTTAACATAGTCTATGATATTGAAGTTTTATTAGAACTGTAAGTTACATAAAGTTCTAAAAAGAACTAAAATCAATTTTTTTGTAGGATTACATTGACATATTAAGGACACAATTTCTTTTGTTCATCTCAGAAGTGCTGGAACATACAGAAATTTATTCACCATATATTATAACTTAGAGTAAAAACTCTTCATGGTTTTATAGAAGCTGATCAGCTAGTAATTGTAAAAGAGAATCTCTTGAAAACAGTACAAAAATGCAAATACTGTTGCTGCTGTGTGTGCTCTCTAAACTGAAATAGGCTAGTCAAAGTATTTTAAAGTAATGTTTTATTCAGAAAAAATGCAAAATATGAGTAAGCGTTCATCCTCTTATGATTAGTTAGGCTTATTCATAAAGTTTTGCAGCTTGAAAGGCTGATGGATCTTAGTTTTGTGTGCTCTGTAGTAAGAATTATCAGCAGTGGTGCAAAAAAATCAAGTGACCAAGGAAGAACTCTTCTGTAAGTTGATACTCGTTCGTGCGTAAATTAAGCTAGACTCTACTTCGGCTGTGCATTCTGCCTGGAGTAGTGTGGGGCAGGGACTAGAAGTCATCATTTGCAAGTTAGGAGTTCTGCAGACCAGCATTTTGAGGATGAAAAGGTTACAGATGAATGTTGTTCATTCTTCTGTTCAATTATTTGCTTTTTAGTTGAACTTATTTAAATGTAAAGTTTTGGGAGGTTTTGTATATTTCATCTTTTTTTTCTGTTACAAAATTATTTTCTGTTTTTTCAGTTGGGGGGAAGTGCCCTTCCATTTTGTGCTGCAGCAAAACTCACTAGTCAGTGACCTGTGTGGGGAAAGACTCTGTAGGCACATGATGCAGCATATTTTCTATCAGCAATCAGTGTGAATAGGTGTACTTCTATAAATTTCAGGAAACTGTCATGTATAATTGGCAAAACTCAGTTAACTTTTAAAATGCCCAAGCAGTAGTCCACTCTGATGCTTTCAAATACTCATCCAATTCATTGAGAACTGAAACAAGTGATACTGGAAAATTTCTCTGAAACTGCTTGGGAACTTTCAAAACTGTGTTTTCCTGTGATTAATTTGCATTAATGTTAATTTGATGTCACTCATTTGAAACATCTGTTTGAAACTACCTATTTCAAAGGTAACCTAGACAAATATTTTTAATAAATGGTTTCAAAGAAGAGACCCGGTATGAAGTCTTAAACACTTGGTTCAGTGAGTTTTCATGCTGTCAACTGTGAAGTCATCCTTCCTCATGACACTAGCAGGGTACCTGTGGGAGTAGAATTGTATTTCTAAAAGAAAAAAAAGGAGACCAGGCTTTGACCTGGTACTTAACTTCAGTCTTGTTGACTCATAAGCACGAACTGGGCACTGTGCCCAATTTCAAAGAATTTAGACTCTAGGTAACTCTTGGAAGTATTTTATCTAATGACTTCAATGTGCCATGTGATGAACAACAAAACTACAGCACAGATTTGAAGTATTATGTAGATGGTAATTATGGGGCTGGATTTTTCTTCTGAAAAGCCCAAAAAGATAAGCTAGGACATTTCACTTAAATATGTTGAGAGTAAAATTCTGCTTCCTATTTGTTCTTTTGACTCTCTAAAAAAAATATATAAATGCGTACTTATTTTTAAGAGTCACATTTTCCATTGTTTGTTCATTACAGTTTGTCCTATAACAGGCACCATGCCAGATTGTCATTAACATTGACACACTTCAGATGCCATTTTTGCATTTTAATATCCCTACACAACAGTTACAACTTTTCTTTATCTTTTTCTCTGTGAAGTTTTTTAATCTTAACTGAGTATTGCTTAACTTACTACATTAATCAAATGAATGTATCATTGTCATTTAAATCCAGCCCATGAATCATACACATTTGGTCTCTATCAACTCTTGGCACAGTTGTGGTGTAGGCCTGGGTGTTGCCGCTTTTCAGCCTCCGGCCATTATATTCTTAAAGAAGACAGCTGCTGATGTCCTTGCTGTTGTTGCCCCTCCTCCTGATCGTATTTGGTGGGCTGAGGCTAGATAGCTTTTACTGCTTTGTGCGGGGGAAGGAGAGGTATAGAATTGTCTACTATTATTTCTTGATTATGGACCTGCATTAGGAAAGAGTCCAGCATGCAGCTGTGACTTGGAGACTGCATAGCCCACTCTACAGTGAAGGTTGGCCATGGAGCTGTTACAGGCAGCTACTGCACAAGACAGTATGTTTATCACAGCAGTAGTTACACCAATTGTAGTAAAATTCTTCCTTTGAAAAGAGCAGCAAATGCAGTGAGTGAGTTCATCGGAGTTCATAAAATGATGATTTTGATGGCTGGAAAAGAGGTCTTGGAATGTCATATAAATTAACATTATAGCAAGTTAGTTTGTTTTTGTTTGGTTTTGGTTTGTTGTTTTTTTTTTTTTAGAAAGTGTCTTGAGGAGAGAAGGTAATCAAAAGTGCAACCAGGTAAAGACACAGAGTGGTTTAAGTGGCAACTCTCCCTCTCCTTTTTAGAAGGAGAATTTGGTTAAAAGCAGGTGAAGAGATACTCTTCCTTAGTTTTATGTTAAAAGTTTATTTGCTAGGGAAGAATGACTTAGTCCTGCAGTTTTTGCAGTCTTCTGTGCATTCGGATTAACTATGTGTCAGTGATCCTTGTGACCTTTTACAGACTTTTAAAGTGGTCATGGTCATGTTTTGGGTTGGGTTTGTTTTTTTATTCTTTTTTGGGGAGGGGAATATTCAGGATTTACCATTATTAAGTTATTACTGAACTTGATAGTTACTTTATTTGAAATAATTAGTAAAGACAGTAACAGTGGGGATGAGTATCATATTTGTTACCTACATAATTAGAGAGATACGGGTTTGATGGATGGACATGGATAAGGAATTGGGTGGATGGCTGCATCTAGAGTTACAGTCAACAGCTCAATCTCCAACTGGAAACGAGTAATGAAGGGTGTCCCTCAAGGGTCATCCAGAAGGACCTTGGCATGCTTAAGGAGTGGGCCTGTGCAAATCTCACAAAGTTCCAACAAGACCAAGTGCAAGGTCCTTCGTCTGGTTTTGGGCAATCGCCAATACCAGTACAGACTGGGGCTAACTTGGGTGTACTGGTGGATAATACAGCATTACTATATTCTTTCTATTATTTTTCCTCCTGATTAAAAGATACTGTGAAAGCATTGAAATAGCTTACAAACTTTATATTTGAACTCTTAATCATGTAAAACCACAAAATCATGGGATTCTAGGAGACTCTTGGATCATGTACAGGATACAAAAAACTATTTGGAGGTACAGATAAATTACTGGTTGTGTCAGGTATTCATGTAGGCAAATATAATTCCTGTTACAAAATGTAATGCATTGCCAAAGCTTTTTGCGATTGACTTTTGATTTCGTCACAGTGTAGAACCTTACAGATCGGTGACATAACAGGTGTGGTGGCTTCTTTGAAAAAGCCAATTTCATCTGTCCTGTCTGTCTGCCTACAAAGGAAATGCTTTTATTTGCTGTAAAGTAGGTGTAAAAGAAGAGGACATGTGATTAAAATATCTAGGCTTTTGAAATTTGTCTCTACTGGAAAACATACTTCATAGTTTCACGCTGAGAAATAAAGGGTAGAATTGAAGATGGAGAAAAGAAGGAAAGCTAGATTTTATTTTTTTTTTTTATTTTTTTCACAACAATAGAGTACATGGCTACAGCCTCTATGAGTTTGTCAAAGTATAGAGTCGCTTTCCAGGATATAGTTTCAGTAGGTCAGCCAGCTGCTCCATTGCATGGCAGGGTGCCTGTCTCTCTAATTAGTGTCTCCAGTATAGGGGAATACAAATTTTATTTTTTTAATTAACGTTATATAGTATAATTGATTGTAAAATAAGTTGTGGTTACCCTTGTGTTTACACTTACATTTTGCCTTTTTTAGCCTAGTGATCACCTGTTCAATGCTGTATAAGTGAAAGGCATGGTCCTCTAGACCTTTCTAGCAGTTATCTCACAGAGGTACAGAATCCCACCGAGCTGCCAGGTCAGGAACAATTGCAATGCCTTTACTGGATGGTTTGAAAACAAAGTAATTTCTTAGTAAAGAAAGAACTAGGAGAGACATTAAGTCAAACATAAGCTTTTGTAGGTTTTCCCTCCATTTAAAAGGAAGTGTTTCAAAACTGTCTCTGAGATCTAAGAAAAGACATCCCACTCCTAGGTGTGACTTGCTTAGGACTGGAGTAAAATCTTCTGGCACAGTCAGAATTCATTTTATCTCTGTACTTCTGGTCTGCTTTGATTAAAAGGATTCTTTTCCTTTCTCAGTTTCTTTTAAGATGAGGTTAGGCATTACTAGGTGTGAATAAACACATCAACGTATTCTTAGGTCCATGAAAGTAATTCTGAAATATACTCCAGATACAGAATAATGCCTGTGGGATTACTTCTGTTCCCACAGAAGTTTCTGAAATATAACTTAAAAACATCCAGCTTTTGCTGCTTGTTGTAAACACAGAGGATATTCAGAGAAATAAGATATTGTGGTGTGTTTTGAAGAGTCCATATGATTTTCCTGGATTGAATGGAGGGTGTTGTCTGATGTGGCAATTGAAAAAAAAAAAAACAACAAAAAACATTGCCAGTAGCTCTCTCCCTCTTCTCTCCTCCTGTACCCCTCAGCTGAAATAACTTGTATACTTCCCTTGGAGACAACATCCTGAAAGCAAGTTTGTTTTAGTGTGTCTTTTGTTATCCTTTGTCTTTGTCTAGAGTAAAGTAGAAGTATTTAGAAACATGGTTTCTAGTTTTGCGGTTGAATTTTAAGGATCTGTTTTAAGGTTCTGTTATGAGCAAATTAATTGAGCCTCAAAAAACTGCATGACAATTAAATGTTTAATTCTCTTA